GACAAATCAGACCCCTGAAATGGGTACAGTAGTATGAAAAGGTTGGAAGCTACTGGTTTAGTTTGTCACCAAAATCCCCTAATAAAATACTTTCCAGCCTTATGGTACAGTTGACTTTAATGCCATATATATTTTATATAAAGCCTAGTCTATACACACACATATAATGTAAGGGCGCCTATGACTCTGATTCAACCACGCATTTAGGCTTGAGCTCATCCCTCATCAGGACAGCACTTGAGCATGTGCTTAATTATAAGTATGTTCTTAACACTCACTAAAGTCATTGTAGATTTTCAAAGGCACCTACCTCCCACTGAAAGTCAGACTTGAGCACTTGCTTAACTGCTGTCCTGAATTGGGGTACTTTCCTGAATCAGGGCTAAAAAAGAAAGCACTACGCACTCAGTAGTTTTTGTACGATTGTAGAATAGCGCTATTTATTTTACCTGTTTGTGATAGGCATGTGACTCTTGAGTGACAGACTAGAGGGAAAGCTAGTAGTTAATGTGTCAGGTCACCTAAAGCCTAGTCTATACCGCAAAAATAACCCATTGTTGACAACTGGTGTCAGGAATGGATGCAGCTGAATTGATACTGAACGTTTTAGCAGTAAGTGTAGACAAGGATGCACTGCACGCAGCACCATTTGAGTAGCAGTAGTTAAAACCTTCTCAGAGCTGCACCCGTTGTCAGCAATGGGTACGTTTCGTTGTGAAGACAAGCCTGTAAAGAATTACATTATTTTAATTCACACTTTAAAGCTGTGCATTACATTTTTCAGTGCAAAAAATACAATAACACAATATGGTTGAGAGTGTCAAGACACAAAATTAAGAAAATCAGTTATGGTTCCCACAGCAACCATAACATAGCTCTTTGTACATATGTTATCCCCCTTTTTTGTGTTTTTAAACTTCATATTTGCTTGGAGCTGCCTAGGTGGTGCAGCGTATCAGATTATACGCTGTTAAATTCTATGCCTTCATATTTATGTGAAGTATTACTGGGTAATGGTTGCCTTGGAAACCATAACTTGGAATACTCTGATTTTTATGCATTCAAATTCTCAACCCTACCATTGCATTAATATAGTGGACTTTCTCTTCTGCATCTGCTTGTTGCTTGAAGTGTGAAAAGAACTAGACAAAGGAAAATTGTGACAGCCCATTCAAATAACTGCACGTATTTTTATTGGAATATACTATGAGACACTCAAATACAGACACAAATGTATATGTCTGTCAGAGAGAGCAGTCAAATACAAGACATAATGGTATATAATGGAAACGCCTAGGGAACCTTAACATTGTGTGCTAACTATTATGTACTATACCTAGAAATACATAAGGTCATGTTTATTTTATTGTGGGATACCCACGATGTAGTTACAGATGTGTGATGCAATCAGGTGAATTTACATTTGCCTGTATATATCTGGAGCACCACACCTTGGAAAACTGTTAAAAGTTAGTCAAAATATGTCTAGGCTATGATTTTCTGCATTTGAATGCCTGATTGTCATTAATGCATTAATCTTGCAAATAGGTGAATTTTACAATGTGGTAAATTTGACCTCCTACTTCAGACCAATTTCTGCCCTCAATCATGCAGATTGATAGCCTTTGTAATTTTATACCAGCTAATTGAATTGCAAATGCTATTTATGTTCATATTAATCATCTCTTTTGGAATTTTACACGTCTCTTTTCCTAAATAAATTAGATAGTTGAGTTTGAATTTAGTTAATAAACACACTGCCCTCTACGGCCCTGATTCAGGAAAGCACTTACCATAGAGCCATCCCTATTCAGTACAAGAGTAAAGGGACTCCAGCATCCAAATCCCCCCCATTGCTCTGAAGATCTCAAACCTCATGTGTGTGTGCGCATGATGTGATTTTCAAATGCAAATACCTTTGTTGGACCAGATTCTTAGCTAGTATAAATCAGCATTGCTCCACTGGAGTTCATGGAGCTACACCAACATGTACCAGCTCAGATGCAGTATCTGCTCCACTATTTCTTAATGGAAATTGCTTCCCATTTTTCAAAGACACCTGCCTTCAGGCAACGTTATTGTCTTTTTGTGGTAAGGTAAGTTTTATAATAAACGGGCTTTGGGTTTCGTGATGTGGGGTCTAAGGGCCTTTTCACACTTGAAGAGTGGCTAAATTGAATTTACACAGACTTCCCCCCCAAAATTCCCATGAGCCAACATCAAAATTGAGAAATGTCAGTCCAAAAGGTGTTCCCCTTCCCCAAAAAGTGAGTTCCATAGTAAAGGGGCTTACACTGAAAGTATCTCTTCAAGCGAAGGTTGCTGCTGTGCTGCTACTATACTAAACATGGGCAAGATTGATTTATTTATTTTACTTTTTCAGCATTTTAAAATCAAAACCAAACTATTTTTACAGCCACAGGCTTTGAAGCTGGGCAAGTGGCTCTGATGGGCTGTGAAGCTTGTTGGACTCCATCTGCGTATGTTCACTGTCAGGTATTCTAGCAATAGCCCCAGAAAAGATGAAGTCATAAACTGGCGGAGCGTTTCTTGGATATGTGCTAGCGTGAAGGCTTTTCTACACTATGAAGTAACGTTTTGGCGATAATACAACTATGTAAGTAACATCAGTCCTGTTTAAACATCCACAAAGCTCTTTGGGGCAGGGACCATCTTTTGGTCCTGTGTTTGTACAGTGCCTAGCAAAGTAAGGTCCTGGTTCATAACTAGGACACCTAGGCACAACTGCAATACAAATAATGACAATAATAATATACATTTCAATATCTGAATCAGTGCCTTTTTCTTAGGCTTTTATACTGCTACTCGTCACTGTTTTATCTGAGCATGTCTCTCTCAATCAATACCCCCACCAACACCATCTCTTCTTCCACTTAACTAACAAACTTTTGTGTTCTCTCTGACAGTCGCTAGTACATTTATGTCTCTGATTTATTTGTCTGATTCTTTAAGAAGTGAGCACCTAAATGAATTCTACTTTGCAGCAGCTCAGCTGGAAACATGAAAAGAGGACCAGATGCAAAGTTATCTAAATCAATTGCACACACAAAGCCAATTGTGTAACAAAGAGGCACTATTCTGCAGTCCTTAATCAGCCAAAACTCCCTATTGAAGTCAACAGGGCTGATTAAGGGCTTCAAGATCAAGTCCCATTTCTCTCTCTTTTAATGAAAAGGTTTATTTTGAGCTCTGAAAACATCAGATTATATGAACTAAGCAAATCCAAAACTCACACTGTAATGAGAACTGAACTTTGCTTTATGCTTAATCTACCATATGCAAAAATTAATCACATTAGTGCTCTCCCTTATGTAGAATACCAAATAAATAATTAAATCTTGTCTGGAAAAATTTAACAAATAATGTGTGTTCTCTAGTTGAAAGTTTTAAAGCAAATGTGGAATTGACAGTGGAAGATGTATGGCCCTTCAAATATACTGAATTGATCTCACACTATTATATCTACCAGGCGCTTTTAGAAGATTAAAGAGAAAACTCCCTCAACTCTTTTCTTTCTTGAAGTTGACTTTGAAAACAGCACTCACACCCCTGCAACTCAGCACACAGCTTCCAATTACAGAAACTAATCCAAAAGGAAGTTGCATGAGCTAAAACTACAAGAATTAAGAAACAATCTCGTGAACAAAAACATTAAAGTACCAAATTCTTTCCCCTCAGTTACTTTGGTAAGTTTAATTGAATTGCCCTGTTGTAAGTGAAGGAAAAGTTTGCACTAAGGAAATAAAGAATTCTGATTAGCTGACACTAAGGATTTTGTTATTCAAAAATACATTAATATTTTCAAGTTAACAGACAATGATTTGGAGTTGCTTGTACGAACAGCAAGAAAAACTCATCTGACACTTTTCATAATTCTAATTTCCAGCCTCATATAAGGATGGGGGATGGAACGTGTGTGTTGATCATCCTGCTGTACCAGTGCTGCTGCTATTAAGCATATGCATCATGTCTTCTATGCAACTCATTATCTACGTATGAGCCATTTCTGGTAGCACTATTTTATTCTATTATGGGCCATCATTCTGCATGCTGAGACATTTTAGCTGTACCTCATCAGGAACTCCAGCACCAATTCAGGCAGGTAAGAGAGGCACCAAAGACCCACAAATAGAGAGAAAGAAAGAGACGCCGCTTCTCTATGAAATGTACCTAGCTAAATAAAGGGGGGTGGGGGGCGTGAGAGGATAATCAAACAAATATTGACATTCTTCAGGAACAGCAATAAACTTTTGCCTTAGGACCCAAAAGTCCTTGTGTGTTTTGCCCTGTAATATCATCTGGCTGAGCCAGGGTTTAATTTTCCAACCCAAGACACACTGTTATTGCTCTCCAAATATTTCCAGCATTTGTAGAGTGAATCTTCAATATTATTTAACAAACTGCTGCTGGGTTGTTCTCTGGGGAGCCCCCTTTCCGCTTCATTTTAGGCATTTGCCATCCAGCCGGCTGCATAGGAGGAGTTGGGGATAAACACACACGAGCACACAGAGAATATCGATCCAGTTCATCATAGAAACGAGCACACTCGCTGAAATATTAATCTGTACTCAACTGTAAAAATAACAGCGAGAGCCAAGTTAGCATCGTGCACTTCAGCACGATGGATCAAATTACGTTCATTTCTCTTCAGATCAAGCTAGCAAATAGTTATATATATATATATATATATATATATATGCTGGAAAGGCTATGCCTAGGAGATCCACAACAGTAACACTGCATGGGAAATCAGAGTGACAAGAGGTCCCACCTGGAAAAGCCAGCGCGTAGGTCATTTACAAGCTCAGGTTATAGATTGCTAGTTAGCACCACTCAGCCGTTATCCCCAGCTGGGGAGAAAGGGAGAAGAAATTGACTAAAGTTTCTTTTCCTTAAGTGTAACCACATATTTTGGAGAAAGTTAGAGCCCCAGAGCCGCTGGGACAGACGCTTCTCTCAGCAGCCAGCGCATCACCTACCTGTGCAAGTGATCGGGAGCAAAGGGCTGGTCCCAGATTCTTGTGGAGCGGGGTGAGGGTGTCCCTGTTTGTTCTTTAAATTCTGGCTCCTGGGCTTGGCTGGTTTAGAGAGAGGAGATTGTGGAGGTGCTGCTCTGAGGGCAGGAGCTTGATCCCTCCGGAAAAGCCGGCTCCATCCTCAGGGCATCGGGAAAGCTGGGGGTTGGAGCACCGATGGCCGCTGCGAGGCGAGGTGGGAGGTGTGGCGCTGGGAAACAGCAGCTTCACACAATGAGAGATTTCCACCTTCTGAGCAGCCCGGGCGTCTTGCTCTGGAGGCAGATGCTGGGCTGAGAACCCTACTCAAGCGCCCCCTGGTGGTTCCGGCTAGCACAGCATCACCCCAAGCAAGGTAATTCCCTTCACATGACTTAAAGCTCTCTCTTTCCCTCCGGCAACTTCTCAGTCCACAAAGCCCACGGCTTCCACGGGCGCATTTGGCAATACTGTATATGTACATTCAGTTAAAGCTCTTCCAAGTGCAGCCTGTAAATCGCCACGGTCTAAGTACAGTTAAATACCTGGAAAGAAAAAAAAAGAAGTGATTATTCAAGTTCCTAACCAAGATCGATCAAATATCAGTGCCAGCCACAGCTTCAGTCACATGCATACGGTACAAACTCCTGCCTCCTTCAGCACTAGAATCCGGATACACAGTTTGCACCTACAGAGGGAACCTCTATTTCCAGAGTCCAATAGGTTGTGCAAAACTCGCCTGCTGCTGCTGGTCAAAGTCAGAAATACAAACCTTCCCCCTTAAAAGAAAGATACTGTGAGGGTGTTAGGGTCTCCTCCACCCCTAAAACTGACAGCTGTGTTGGAAGTTTTAAGATATCTGCAGCTTCAGCACGTTCTCCCTGACGCTCGGTGGAGGAAGAAATTAACCACCCTAACCCTACCCGCATCTTTCCAAAGGACTGATTCAGCCAGAACAGTTTGCAAAGCAAACACATAAAACTCACTGTACATAATCTCCTAGTAGCCTATCAAAAGCAGTGGAATTGAAGACAGAGTCTGTGTATGTTAACGTCTCCAGATGCACAGACTGAGAATCCTGACACACATGAGACAGTCTAAATACCAGAGGGAACAGAAGACACTGCTCACTTAAAATGATGGCACTGCACTAGCAACACCATAGGTCAGGGAAGGGTGGGTACTTTCAACCTGCAATAACTTGGGGGGAGCGGGGAGGAATAGCAACCTTTTATTATACATGTTTTTTCCCACCCACACTCTGCAGCTCCATGTACACATGCTGCGCTGTATGAACAATTACAGCTGAATCTGAAGCATGGTGTTCAGATCCCCATCTGAACTTTTTCAAAGCACTGGAGTGTTCAGATCTGGGTTTCAGTTTGGGCCTACCTCTAACAAAATTCCCACTCACATCTCTAAAAAGGAAAGCAAAGCCTAGGGTGGCAAAGGCCCCAATTTGGCAAGGTCCTTAAAGAACATACCTCACTTGAAGCATACATGAGTAGTCTCAATGAAACTATTCACATGCTTAAATTAGGCACATGCTTAATTAGTTTGCTAACCTGGGGTTATAATTTCCATATATTGCCCTAAAATTGGGTAGGAGGAAGACCTCTAAACGGAGGAAGGATGGTCTTGTGGCCAAGGTCAGAGACGAGCATTGAGCGATGGGGGTTTAGTTCCTGGTTCTGCCACAGACTGCCTGTGTGATCTTGGGTGACCAGTCACTTAGGTCCTGATCCTGCAAACACTTAAGCACACATGTAACTTGATTTGTATCTGTCAGTAAAGCATGTGTTTAAGTGTTTGCAAGATCAGGCTCTTAGTCTCTCTGGCACAGATATGTAAAGGTATTTAGGCCTAGCTGATTTAGGACCTTAGATCCCTTTGAAACTTTGGCTCCCAAGTGTCTAAAGTAACTTTTGAAAATGAGGCTTCCAAGTCAGTTAGGTGTTGTAACACTGAGCAGAGTAACACCTAAATACCTTTACAAATCTGGGCATCTGAGGCCTCAGTTCCTCATCTGTAAAATCTAAGTTATACCCCTTATATCACAGGTACTGGGAAGATAAATACATAAGCCTCTTGTGGGGCACTTAGAATTTTATTAAGATGATGTTAAAAAAAATTGTGAACAGAGTTTGAGCATAGAAGTTTCTGGTTATCAGGGAATAACATACAAATTATCGAGGGTGCAAAGTTTGGCCCTATAAATACAGAGACAGACACTGCAGTGATTTTCCCCCAATATGAAGAGTAGATATCAAGATATCTACAAAGAACATTTGAAAACATATTTCTCCAGTGATGCAATTCTCCAATGAAAGGGGACCTGAAACAGAGACAGTCATTCCTAGGCTCTGAACCTACTCATGTCAACTGTTTGCAGAGCTGACAAATCCTGTCGTGCTGCTCCTAAGCACTATGAGGTGTGAAGTACAGAAAGCAAACAATGTAATCATATTCAGTAGCCAAAACCCAGAACACTCAGCATGTTAAAAACAAAAAAACAACAACAACTTGTAATGGAGCTGAATTCCTCTGCCAACAAGCCTCAGCTCTCTAATTAGAGGCACTAACATAAGTGTCAGTGTTTGTAGAAGACATGTTAAAACGCACACTGTAAACCTTGATTCTTCTCAGTGCAGATACAGTGCAAATTCAAAGCAGCATTTTACTGAGCACAGTATGCAAAACACAGTGACCTGGAATTCATTCCCAGCATAAAAATCAAAGATCAATCATTGTATTTATGCACTCACAAAAATAAACTTAATTTACTTCTATAGCATAGAGTCAGATTTACATAAAATTCATCAAAGCATAATCTGTTGTTATAATCAGTGATTTCCCATGTCTTTTCCACTTACCTCTTCCCTGTAACTATTTCTGTCAGTGTAAAACTGTGTTGTCTGCCTTATTCCTTATTTAGATCATTAATGCATAACAGCATGGCCATGTAACTACTCGAGTTCTCAAGAAAGCTAAGACATCCCCCATCTTGGTTTCATTTTGATCACAGGAGTCTTGAGTTTAATAACATAAGGGGCAGTAGCATCGTGTTGTCCTATGCCAGTACTGATGGAGCCTCTCACATCAGAGAGGAGGAAAGCACTGGCATATGGCCAAGGAATGAAAAAGAAAGAAATGTGGATTTACTAAAGCAAGGTAGGTTATTCCAGAGAAACCACAGGGGTTAATGACAGGCAGGACCACAAAGAATTCATGTACTGTATGCTGAGTTTGGGATCCTTATTTGGTTGATTCAGGATGAACAGTTTTAAATTAGATTTCTGCTTTCTTTTGTTTTCATCTTATACTCCACTGTTCAAAGCAGCCTTTTTTCCCCCATCACAGAGATGTATATAATAAGCACTTGAATATTACCCTGTGGTTATTTATACCTCACTAATATGCTCCTCGCCATTTTGTCTGCTTGCTGGCATTAACTGCTACGTCTCCAGCTAGTGTTGCTGAAGAAACCTCAGTGGTTGAAGCTTACAAATGGGACAATTAATTGTTGAAAAGGAGAAAGACATGGATACCAAAAATACCTGCTTCCTCCTGTGGGTGGCATCAATATATCTTCAGTATACAAAGGTCTCTTTAAAAGAGAAAGAGAGAAGATTGTGTCTCATTTAATATAATTATGGTGAAAACAGCTGTTTGTGCTAATGACTTCAAATAGTTATTTAAATTAAATTAATGATTTAAAATAATTAGTATTAGTATCACTCGGTTACATTCCTACCTCTGACCCAGCAGGGTATAAGAAGCTTTGGCCACATTCTGGGCAAGCACCTCAATCATCAGCTAGCCACACATTAGACATGAGGATGGGAACGCATGGCCAAAAATCACAGGCCTCTTCAGCTTGAGCAAAACGAGACCCTCCATTAGTTTAATTGGTAGTAGGGTTATATCCCTGTGTTCAGGCCAACCACTAGAGACTGAGACAGTTACAAAACCATAAACATGAGCAGATCTGACACAAGCCAGGTTCAGACTGCAAGCCCCGGCTTCAGCTCATAGTCAGTGCCGATGCTGCAGGAGTGTGCTGTACTCTCAGAGAGTACTGCAGATGACACACTCAGCTGTGGATTTCCATATAGGTGAAATGTGAAGATCTCATGGCACTTATAAAAAACATAGTGATGTCACAGTCAGTGTTCTCTCTTGAGTTCCAGAGTCCAAGGCTGCATGTGTGCTACTGCTGAGTGATCAATGACTGACACATTCACATACACAGTCACTGCCCCATCATTATTTAGCTCATCGATTTGTACCTTTCTTGGGATACTTTGAATATGATGGTTCTATCCTATTTTTAGAATTCTTTCTTTGTAGTGAGACTTCCTGTACCATTAAGCCATAATATCAGGTTATGCAGCCTCCCTGAACCAGCAGTCATAACAGAACCTAATTTCAATGACACATCCAGCTGCAAATACTAAAACAGATCAGATTTCCCCCCCCTTTTTACTGCTTTAAAAGCATTTTGAAGAGAAGCAAGTGGTAGATATTGTCTTCACAACCACTGGTCTGTTACTCCTGTTATCCCAGGAGACATTTGCACATTTCTGTTTGAAATTTTGGGAAGTGAACATAGAGTTTGTGAAAGTTTCTGGACAGAGACCAAGACCCTGCTTTTCAAAAGTGACTAGTGGTTTGGGAAGTCTCAGGTTCTGGGTGCCCAGGTGAGACACCTTAAAGTGGTCTGATATCCGGAGAGTGCTGAGTACTCACCTTCTCAAAGTCAGGTTCCTTTATAGTGTCTCAAATTGAGCACCCCAAAATTGAGGCACCTAAGTGCACTAGTTATTTTGGAAAAGCTTGGTCCCAATTCCTATTTATTCACAACGTTTACAATTTTCAGCAGGGCAGTATAAGCTTCCCTATTGACTCTCCTGGAGCTCAACACTAATCTAAGTGTGAGGAAGGAGTTCATTTCCACCTGTGAATTTAAAAACAACCCCAGAAACCTGTTGTATGGGGCAATGTGGTCCATTCCAAAAAACAAAATATTTGCTCCTCAGACATATTGTTATGAGCCCCATGGATACAAGTCATCCCTGCTGGAGGGCGTGGAGACCTGAGCTTTTTCTAACAGATATGATTCTGCTCTCAGTTTTGCATATGGTGCCTAGATACTTCAGGGTTAGGCATGCCAGAAATGCATACAGAGACTTAACAGTATTCAGAGAAGAGTTGAATTCCACCCAATGCAGAAAATTATCCCAAACCT